CAGAAAGCATGACACCTCAGCGTGACTCCATAGACTTTGGTGGTCCTTCAGTTAATTCCATCGAGAGAACAAAAGCCGATTGTAGTTTTCTGGATCTGCTGGTGGTCCTGCGCCCACCAATCTGTGGCAATACCACTCGGCAACACATGTTGCATTTCTGTTTCGTTTCTGTTCTGTTCTTTCACATAGGATTTGGACAGACTTTAGCAGTTTTGTTATTAAATCCATGTTTCTTAATGCCTACATTTTTTTAACTTAACTTCTGTAAGTCATAGTCCAGCCAATCATCTAGTGTGACATCATCGACAGGCGCAGGACCCGAGCCGGCCTAAAGGAAACATGTCAAAACGTCAAGATATTGACCGTTAAAATTGGCCCAAAATCTCTGCAGCACATGGGCTGACCATGACCTGTAAATATCGGTATCGGCATTACAAAAACCCATGTCGGTCAACCTTGACTTCAATCCACTGCTATCTAAATCTTGATGTCCTCCAATAAAAAAATAAAAACAAATTTATTTTATCACAGGGCCCTAAGAAAACTAAAGTATACACAAATTAATCATCCCATGTTTTTCCTTTTTTTAATGAAAGTTCCCAAAAAGATGGAACATGTATTTTAAATCTTGCCTTTAAGATTTAAATCAAACAGTTAATCTTTTGCAGTTCTGCTGTAGCTTCTCATAGGCAGATTTTGAGTGGCAAGGGAGAGTAGCGCCCCTTGTGGCGGGGCGGGAGTCTCCCCGTTTGTGAAATAGGTAGGGACAGCGAATAACGAGATTGCCCTCGTTTTCCGCCCAGACACAGAAAATAATAGTTTTTTGAAGAATTAATTAATGAATCAGAACCAACACGAAGTGGACAATTTTCATGAAGTCTGGCTGGCATGCCAATATGCAGGGTTAGGGAATTTGAGTGCTTTAAGGGCTCAATATATATATATATATATTACCTCTACTTATGACCAATAAGCTGTGAAACTCTAAGTATAGAATATCAACCCTGCCTGGTTTTTACTGTGTTAATCAGAAGATTCTAGAATTCTTTATTTATTAAGGAATGGTACACACTTCGTTTTGATTCAGAAAACAGTCAGGTTTACAAAAGTAAGAATTTATTTTACCAACAATTAAAACATGACAGGCTAACTAACATTTACTGTGAGTGGATGTGATGTATGAACCTATGTGTGAATGCGATGTTATTAGAACTTCCGTATCTAGGAGAGCTGAGTTCTGGATGTAAAAGAATTTGGTTTACGTTAAGCTATGAAGTTGATTATTATCAAAAACACATCAGACGCTATCTATGCATCTACTTCACCCGTTCTCGGAGACCCTGCTGGTGGATCCGGAATGTCGAAGTCCTCGGACTTCCAGGCACAGAGGTCCGTAGAAGAAACTGCGGCGCTACTAGACCGGTTTTAGAGATGTCTCCAGGTCACAACAGACGGATGGAACCGCGCGTCTGGCGAACTCTTAAGGAGTCTAAAAATATCAGCTTGCTCTGCAGGAACCGTTTGCTGTATCAGCTTCGCAGGTGAAAAAAGATTTTGACGACGTGTCAAAATCTTTGATGGGTTAAAGAGGTGTTTTGCTTCAGATGGCCGGTCTGAAGCTTTTCTCAAGAACTGATGAATCACCAGAGTGATCCAGTTTTAATGTTCTCATGTTATGATTTGGTCCTGGGTTCGCTTCCCAGCCTGGGATCTTTTTGCATGGAATTTGCATGTTCTCCCTGTGCATGCGTGGGTTCTCTACGGGTACTCCGGCTTCCTCCCACAATCCAAAACCATGACTGTTAGGTTGATTGGTCTGTCTAAATTGTCCTTAGGTGTGTGTGTGATTGTTTGTCCTGTGTGTCTCTGTGTTGCCCTGCGATGGACTGGCTCTCTGTCCAGGGTGTACCCCACCTGATTGCCTATTGGCAGCTGGAGATAGGTACCAGCCCCCCCCCCCCCCCTCCCACACACACACACACACACACACCCCACCCTACGTGGACAAAGCGGGTTCAGACAATGGATGGATGGATGTTATGATTTATGTAGCCAACCAGAGGTTGACAAGTTGAGGAATATTACCAAGACAACCTCAGAAACACGCCTTCCTTGATACTGGATGCTCTGATCTGGGGTAAAGGGCCATCTATGTGTCACACGTTTAACTTTACTTTGTCCTTGTGTGAGTACAAATGTTGATGACCTTTCACATCATCATGCTGAAACATATATCAATCAATGTAATCACAACATAACATTCATTTCAAACTTCAGTCATTGAGCACAGATTAATGAAACATTTCATTATATTATAATTATTATATGTAGCAATAAACAAACATTTATTTAATGATTATCTAGCTTATAAGTTTTAGAAGTTCATATTTAATTTAGGAAATCATTCTTTGATTTAGCAACTGATCTGAGCTGCGAGTGTTCCTTATTCAAAGGCATGAAAAATCCTGTAGGACAATAAGGGAAGCCTTGAGAAGAGACCATTATTGTTGGCAATTCGTTATCTGTGTACAGAGCTGCAGAGAGGCTCTGAGCTCCAGCTGATGGGATGAAGGCAGGCTGATTTAAAGGGAACACATGCAGTCTCTTGTCTCCTTTTTGACCAGCTGTTGAATGGTCAAACTGTACCTAAAAACTGACCATTGCTGGATGTTACATTGTCAACTTGCAGTGATCAAGTTTAAGGAGATTAACTTACAACCAAGAAAAAAGAAGAATCCCTAAAAGTAATCAACACAGGAAAAATGTTATGTAGCTTTTGAATGACTTTAAGTCTATGTGCAACCGTAGCTCAGTCTTAGTTGTTTACACATGAACCTTTCAGCTAACTATCAATTTGATATTAAGAAGCACCACCGTGAAGCATAATTGAATTAATAAAATTTATTTGCTATATTATTTTTCTGAAGATGATTAAATATGCAAACCTCACAGGAATCACGGTGGTGGAGACAAACCAGAACATGGATGTGAAAAACAAGTTGCCTTTAGGTCCTTTTTTTACCGTTCTGAACTCAGTAAACCTCTGCAGGCTTTTTGAGTCATCATATTATTTGACGCACGCTGCAGCTTTGAGAAGACTTACTTGAATATGAAAAAAGGGCACTGTTACAGTCATGCTCAGCTGTGAATCATCAATATTTTCCATATTTGTCATTGCTAAAACTTCCTGAGATACTATCACATGAGGCCCTTACCTGTCAGTGCACCTTCACACTCGCCCGGATGTGAATTTAGTGACTCCTCCATCATTCACATTCTACAGCTTGTGCTGCAACACCACAGCAACCTGTCAGCCTCAAAGAAAATCAGCTTGAAAGTTGTTGACCTAATCTATCTGCAATTTGCAAGAAAAGAACATACATGAAATGTGTAATATTAGCACAGGAAACCCACTGAAATATGCATGTTATTTTTAATTATAAACCACTTAGAAAAACACTAAGTTCATTAATGATTTGATGATAAAGTGCTGTAGGTGACAATATGTCTTTTAGGAATTTACTCTTAAGCACATTTAGAAATAACTATGTAAATAAATAAATTATGCAGTGCAGAAATAAAAATGTGTATTTTTAGAATAACAAAAATTCTAAATATTTTATGCAAAACTCACCTTTTGCATCCTTTTGTGCTACTATGTGGGTCTCTACTGCTCCTATAAGCACTCCAAAGGTGAAAAAATCCACCCGTCTGTTTTCTGTCAATATTTTGTTCTATGAATTATGTGCCTAAAATGAGCCATTTCAAAACGTCCCCGTTTGTGATGCCACAAATGGAGAAATCAGAGTAAAATGACCTCTGACATGCAAGAAAGAGCTGCTGCTGGAGGAATCGCAGCTCGTCTCCAAGCCCCTCCCAGAAATCAGAGCTTCTCAGCTTATAGCAGTCTGTTTGGGGATGAATGGGCATGGCCAACTCTAGCTTGTTTTCTTAAAGTGACAGAGCCCTTCTGGAAAGAACTACTGTAAACTGTGTCATGAATAAAGCTGCTGAAATTGCTTTAAGTGAGAGGGACTTAGTGCAAAGAACTTTATGAACATGTTTTGTATCAAATTTGTCTCCTTTAAGAAATTCTGGTGACCGTTTCTCACACGAGGCAGTGTTTAAAACAGAATAATATGTTTGTAGCTCATTCATTTTTTATTAAGCAACTGTGTATTTAATTTTTGACCAACAGACTTTATGTATATATTGCAAAATATGGTAGAGATCACGAAATTAAATGGGAAATTTTCATTAAATTTGATGTAAATCTTATATGTCTGAGGTTTTCTAAAATATTTCACTAATTGAAGTAAATATCCTATGTAAGACATGTCTTAATCCTTTGGTTGCTACCATTATAGGCTGTTGCTCTTGTGTGGCAGATGTAACCCCCCCCCCCCCCCACACACACACACACACACACACAAACTCTCCTTCAGAACCCCTCCTCCCCTTCAGGAGAATCAGGAGTCCTGAGAGTCGCCGACCACTAAATGGTCTGCTTCAGAGCCTCATTACCTAATCGCCAGCTCAGCCTCAGTTAAGATGCACCCGATCAAAAGAAGTCTGTCCTCCTTTACGTGAAAGATGTCATAGATGTATTTTTTTTATCAATCAAAATTTGAGAAAATGTTCTAGTTTTTCCAAATAATACAAAAGTTTTCTCTGATCGATGAGCTTTGACTCTGCATCTCTAAACTCCTGATTGTGTTTGTTATGACTTTCCTCCAACTCCCACCGTGCTTTTTATGCAGATGTCTATTTTTCCCACGTTCTCAGCAGTAGCTAATGATTTTTTTTCTCTTTCTGAGCTGAATCACATCACTGTTTCACATTTGATCCCAGAAAGTCAATGTCATTGATTTTGCTGCTCTGATTCCATGCTTTGTGTTATACGTACTCACTAAATCAGATGCATTGTTGGTGATTGGAGGGGAAATTCAAAAAAAAGAAGAAGAGTACAGCTTTTTTGTGTCTGTGTTCTGTCCCTGCAGGTGCTTTTGAGGATGAGGATATCATCCATGTTGAGGGGACGGTGGACCCAGTCAGAGACATGGAGATCATCCACGAGGAGCTGAGGATGAAGGACGAGGAGATGATCGGACCCATTATTGACAAGCTGGAGAAAACGGCCATTAGAGGCGGTGACAAGAAACTCAAACCAGAATATGTGAGTCAATGTCACAGCAGGCCCTTTGCTCCCCCTCACAGCAAGGCACAAATAATAACCCTCCCACACACATGGCCATGGAGAAAAAAGTATGGTTTTTTTTTGTTTTTTTATCTCCCTCCAATAAGTCTCACCCCTCCCCCTGGCCCATTTTTCCCTCTCTGAGATTGAAAGTGATCAGGGGTCAGGGGTTTTCTGCTGTAGAAATCATTAATAGAGTGTTACTTATTCAGCTGCCGACCCCGGGTCACAGCACCAGGCTAATGAAAGTGTTTCCACACAGCTCTTTTCATCTAAAGTAATACTCAAATCATGGCACAGCGCTGGCTCACGCTTGTACTCCTACAGCAGCTAGGGAAATTGTTTAAGGCCATACAATGGTTGACACGTATGCCCATAACTCGCTATGAATACCGTAAATGTTTAGCATCGTCTTCCTCGGCAGAATCGCATCCCTCCAATCTCTGAGGTCGAAATGCGAGGTAATTTGTGGGGAAAAAAAAAGATTAAAACAAATATGAAATAAATCCACATTCTGGACGTCGGATGAAAACGTTTGTGTTTTCACACACATACAGATGTTGTTACGGTAATGAGGCAAGTTGCGGAATAATTTTGGTTGCAGATGTCTTTAACTGGAGGCAGGAAGGCACGGAACATGTGGCCTTTCACTCGGGGCAGCATGCCCAATCCCAGGCCCCAACTCACGGAGGCTCTGACCACTTATTACACTAACGAGAAGGGCTATTTCACCTGCTGCAGACACCCCCGTCACTGGTGGGTTTGCTTCAGATGCCCACCCCTCCTTTTCCTCCTCCTCCTCCTTCCTCTGCTTTTCAGCGTGCAGCAGCACCTCCCAAAATCCCTGCAGCCCCCTCAGACACAAGCCATTCAGGCCAGGCAGGTGGCCGCTTACTACCATAATTGCTAACAATTTTAGGCAGTGAATAAAAATAATCTACATTGCTTGTCAAAGGTTGCGCACACGCCGGCAAGTGAGGATCTATAGAAGGCCTCTCTAGACGGTGAAAGGATGGCGGTTATCAAAGGATGCCCTGAGCTCTTAGATGGGAGGGATTAAGTGATTGCTGCAGGATGAGATCTGGGTTGCTCAGCTATGTGTAGCGCAAGCCATCGAGATTATGTTTGCAACTTTAAAAGGGAATCACCTGCAGTTACTTCAGTTTTTATAAGGAAAAGTGTAAGTAAATGAAGAGATTTGTTTTAGTGATGCAAGACACTGACTTACTTGGGTTTGCACTGGCTGCGTGAATCTTAAATTCTTTCAGAGTCTGGATTAATTGACAAAAATACAGATATTATTTTCTCTTCTGTTTTTATGCTGCTCATGCTGCACCTTCTGCACTGTAACTGCTCACTTTAACTTTAAATGCTCCCTCAAAGCTTTCTTCCTTAAAGTGTATTTTAAATAGTAACTTTTTGTCACATAGATTTAACATTTTGATGCTAAAATGGACTGTTTTGTGTTTTTGTACACTTGAAAAGCACATTGAATATAACCTCTTTGTGTGAAATGTACGATATAAATAAAGTTGCCTTGAGAATTTTAAAACAATTGACAATAATACGTTATTTGTTTGATGCACATGTGCTCTGTAAAATCTGATTAGCTCCGCTTAATGAATAAAAGTAAACTGATTGCACTTAAAATAATGGTTACACAGAACTACATAATTATGTGTTGGATCTAATACTTACAACGTAAAGCGCCCTTAAAACCAAGTTGCTTTAACTGAGACAAAAAGGACTAAACTAGTAATTAAGCTGTAGTAAACTATAAGCAAAAATACAAGTTTTCCCCTTTATAGTAACTTTCATTTAAGTGCAACTTTGTAGTAGCTGCAACACATAATTACCTAGTGTGATGTGTGCAGAAGTGAAATCAAAGCAGCAGGTCAGTTTAGAGCGACATACTCTGTAATAACATTAGCTTTTAGGATGAAAAAGTCATTGAATTTTCTGTTTAGGCTAAACTCATGCATGCAGGGGTGCAGCGCTCATGCGTATGCATTGTTGCAAATCCATGTTGTTGTTGTCACGTTTGCAAGAACAATGTTTCATCATCTCTGCCCGCACGGAGGAGCCTTTAAAATCCCTCTCCTTGCCAAACAATAATAAGAAACCGGCCCACCAGCGGCGCTTCATGGTGGCGAGCGTATGTGTTTGACCCCTGTGGGACCTATATGCCTTTTATTAACACCTGCCTGTTAGAGGAGCGCTGCAAGGCGGCTGCGAGCTGATGAGGGAAACCTGGAGCGGGTTCAGCCCGTGTCACTGGCCGTTTGCTGTTTCCATTTCACAGATGATTAATCTCTCTGTGAAGACTTGGGCCGGCGCGGGCGGAGTGTATGCAGCTCTTCCTGCTCTCTCTCCCGCTGGCTGCACTCTGGCTGCCTGACTAAAAGGCCTTTAGAATTCCTGCGGAGAGAGATGTGCAGAGAGTGAATGCAGCTGGCTGGGGGTCAGCGTGTGGAGCTTTTTCTGCCATTGTATAATTGAGGCTCTGGCAGGATTTTTTTCCTCAGTTCTTTCAAAAGAGAGTATGAATGTGAAGTGCTGCAAGGGGTTTTGGGAGGGGAGAAAAAAAAGAGGAGGTAGGGAGAGTGTTGCAGGGGGTGGGTGAGTTTTTATATGAAGGGGGAGGTCAAGTTGACAGGAACAAAAAGAATGTGTTCCGCTAATTTCTGTGGGGCTGGATCAACAATAATAGGCTCAATTTCTTTATTACAAATTTTATAACTACCTCCCTCCCATTTTCCCACCCTTTTCCGCTTCCAGATCCTGTCAAGACCCCACAGTCCCAGCCCACAAGTACGTCAGTAAGGGCCGCCGCATAGGTAGCTTTAAATGCGCCGTGTTTTCAGAAGCAGCGAATAATTAGCACTGCACCTCACAAGTTCTCATTCAGTATATGACTACATTCTGTAAAGTACCTGAGGAAGGACCAATAATTTACACCCTACTAACCAACTTCCAATCAATTCCCCCATTCTTTCCAATTTCATCTCCTCTCCCTGTCCTTTTCATTAAACGGTCCCGGAGGAATATTGGTGTATCAAGCTGACACCCCAGAAGGCATTTTGTCAGCATTTAAAGAAACGAAGGGGGTCTTGTTCATGCCATCCCCGTCAAAGCTGGGCTACTCCTTGCCTGAATGAGAGCAGAAGCCATTGTTCACTTTGGCATCAGGATGCCATGCATTTAGGAAATAATTACCCCATACCCTGCTGGGTTTCTTCTTTTTCATCCTTTAATGGCTTCTTGTTCGTTCCTTTTTTTAACCCCAAACAGGACGTTATGTGCAAAATAAAGAGCTGGGTTGTGGATGAAAGGAAGAACGTCCGCTTCTATCACGATTGGAACGACAAGGAGGTAAGGCTTTGATGTTGATGTCAAATTTATTAACATGATTCATCTTTTTATCTAACCTGAAAGTACAACTGCCGTTTTTCTCCCTTCTTCTTATAAATCTGAAGTCTTTTTTACGTTTGTACAAGCTAATGACATCTGGCCAAGCTGATCTTGATTTCATGTCTCCACAGCCCCCCCCCCCCCCCCCCCCCCCTGTGCTTATAATTTAATTTGGCTTCATTTGTCTCTGTCGGTGTCATCCTCAAAAGCCACTTTGGAAACTTTTGGATTCTCAGAACCTTTTTTTTTATTTCTCCACAGATAGAAGTGTTGAACAAATACTTGTTTTTGACATCCAAACCAATGATATACCTCGTTAATCTCTCTGAGAGAGACTACATAAGGAGGAAGAACAAATGGTAAGTTCTTGGGAAAAAGAGGGGAGAAGGGGTGGGCAGATTTACTGTTAATCATCACGAATCTACACTCTAAGAAAGGCAATGTTGAATTCCTTTAAACAAGTCATGCCAACTGGTTCGACTAAACCTTAGTGTAATATACAGTGTGATATGTTGTTATGTCAAAAGTAAGTGAAACCAGTTGACATAATTTGGTTAAGAATATTCAACATTTCCTTTCTTAGAGTGTATTTATGTGATTAGCTATATGTATTTTCACCAGCGATGGAATGTAACAAAGTACTTTTTTAGTGTACTTAAGTACAATTTTTCTGTATTTGTACTTTTCTTAAGTCATTTTCTTGAGGTCTACGCTGAAAAAAATGATCAGTCAAATTGTTGACTTTATGCCATTTATTTACATGTACAATTTCCATGTAATTTTATTACATAAAGTCAATGAAAGATCCCCATTTACGGTAACCTGCTCTTACGTTTATGTTTATTTGACTTGTCAGCCTGACGAAGTTTGCAGCCGCAAACGAAACGTTGCAGGTGAATAAAACCTTTCTGTGTTTTAAAAAGAACTAAAAGATGGAATTAGAATGTCAACACACCAAAGATGTGTTATACTATTTTAATTAATAACATTTGGGATTTTATAAATGTTCGTTAAATCTTATATTAAAATGTTTGTTAGTGATTACTGGAGCCAAGGATTTTTTTTGGGTGCATGCAGTTCACTTTCTTCTTCTTCAACCCAAATGAAGAACAAATGACGCACTGAGAATTTGCCGCACCCTAGCAAATTCTTTAAAAGTCTTCACTTCCTTAAAATGGGATTCCATTAAGAAGGGTTTACCAAACATTCTTAGTTTAGGTTTACACATAGAACATTTGATTTTAATTTACCCATTTGGATAAAAAACAGCGGTGATTTTATAAACTTTAGTTAAATCTTACATAAAAATTTTAGCTGGTGTTTACAAGGGCCAAGAATCGTTTTTTGGAGTGCACATCTGACTTTTACTTCACCAAATTTTAAAGCAATTTTCTGTACGTTCTACTCCACTACGTTTGTAAAAGGTTAAATAAATTAAGTATTTTAGCACACCTCTACACACACAGCACATATTTAACTGTTAGTTGAATGCTTTTATTTTTTTTATTTTTACGTACATTTGAAAATGCATACTTTTTATACTTTAATAAAATAAATCAAGTACTTCTGCGACTGATTCTCTCAATCTCTGACAAAATCAGCAGTCATCTATGAAATGTGGGTTGTGCACCCCCCCCCCCCCCCCCCCCGTGTGTGTTGTGTTCATTTGCCGGCGTATATGAGACCGACTGCAGTCTCCTGCTGGCAGGAGCGATCGTATCTTTAGAGAGGATCTGCCTGGAGGTGGCACTAAGTAAACGCTAACACAACATCCAGTTTTGCTAACTGTAGCCAGCCCTCAGACTGTGTACTTCATTAAGCGCACACTACCATATGGTCTTCATTTTCCCAACAAAATTTCTCATGTGATATCAAAGAGAAGGAGGGTTTCCAGTGACAAAACAAGTACATGTAAAACCCAAACGGGTGATTAATATCGCTTCGGAGACAACGGGTGATTCACGGTGACAAATATTAACTGAAATGTTTGGCTGCAGATGTTTGGTTTTGTCCCCACATGTTGTTGTTCTTGCTTTACAAGCATTTCTTCACAGCCATGAAACTTCCACGCCCAACGTGACGGCTGAGAAAGTCTGAATGAATAGATGCACGCACGGCTGAGAAAGTCTGGATGAATAGATGCACGCTTATTGTTCTTTTTGAAGCTGAAGCTGAGCTTCCGGCAGCTGACTCTGCAGGAGAACATTCAGACTTTATTCTGTCTCAGAGGAATATTTCAAATCCATCAAAGAACTATTAATATCTTACATGTTGGAGATGGCTCTTTCAACAACTTTAGTCTGGAACAGTAGAGATTCATTCTTGACAGATTGATAAGCTGATGGCTAGTCTGACTGGGACCAAGACCAAAGTGGATCCCTACTGAATAAGAACTATTTCATGCATTTTTCTTTTAGAAATGTTATTTTTTCACAAATTTCCATAAACGTATACATAAACATACACTGTGAGACATAAAATGTTGAATTTAATTAACCAAGTTATGTCAACTGGTTCGACTTAACCTAGTTGTTTAAAAGAGCAGCAAGTAAGAATGTTACAGTGAAATAATCACAAAACAGTCTAATGTTGGAAGGACAGTTATAATGAAACAAATTTCCTTTTCAGCCGGCTGAGTGGAGGCCAGTTTTTCTCCTTTTAAAAAGGTCGAAGAGGGACGTAGTTACTGTTTACAATCTGCGACTGTGTTGCTGCGTCTTCACCAAGCTGATGCTGCAGCACCAACATTTGCAATATTGACAATGGCAGGAAAAAAGCTCCAGAGTTGGTTAAAGACTCAAAGCCAGTAAAAGAAGCACCCCAGAAGTTATGTCTTGTACCCCTAAGAAAGCACAACATCTTTGTTTTACTCTAATATTGGGCAAAAAAAGGCTAGAGGCTACCGCTGAGCTAACAATTATAATGGTGAATTACGGACAAACAGCCAGCTGTAAAAACATCTCATGCTACCTTTTCAATTACCAACAACTTGATATTGCAGTGGAGTGTACAACATGTGTGAAGTTAAAAATGAGTCAATCATGGCATCTTACTTTATTGAGTGGTTCAGAAGTAAAACACAGAGACGGTGAACAACTGCACTCCCTCTAAGGCCGGGGACACACCGGCCGCCGAAGCGTCGGGAGGCGAAATTCGGCCGCTGCCCGCTGCTCCTCAGTTCAGACCAGACGCTTGTTTCTCTGCTCCGGTCGAGGCGCAACTCGTAGTTTTTCTTTTAACCACGTGGTGTCCTCCATTTCCTCTCTGCCTTTTCTCTGCTCTTTTCCTCTACACCCCCCTCCCCCTTGTAGTTTGTGTGTGTGTTGGTACGTGTGTGTGTGAACCTATGGTGTGAACCAGTAGTTAATAGCTGGCCTACGACTTTCTGCCTCTCTGTCTTGTTTGCTCTGGTTGAAAGACACCCAAAACCACACCCCCTTCACATGGTCACACACACACACAAGTTCGCTCTGTGTGTGTGTGTGTGTGTGTTCGTGTGGTTTTTATGCAGTGTCTGTTTACGAACACATTTGACTATCGCAAAATTGTATTTTTAAATGCTTTATTTTGTTAAATTTACCGGCCTGCCTCTTATGTCTAGGTTTGACTTCCTGCCAGAATTGGCGCGGTTCACCCGCGGCTCGCGAAAAAAATAGAGCAGACGCCGAAACGATCGCTGCACGTCGCGGGCTGGAGCGTCGGCGCGCGGCGCTTCGGCAGCCCATGTGGTCTACTGAATAGGATAACAAGGGCGCCGAATGAAGGCGGCCCCCTTTTCGCGGCGCTTTGGCGGCCGGCGTGTCCCCGGCATAATGCCGAAAGTGCCTTCTACTGTAATGAGTGTAACAAGTGCTCCCTACGTAAAACACCCAAGAGTGCTAACACCAGATATGCAATGGCAGTGAGAAAGGAACTTTTTGTTTACTCATTCACTGCCGTTGACCTGAAAAGTTGTCATTTTAAATCCAACCGTTCACTGCCAATGACGAATAAATTTGTCATTTGCCTTTTTTTTTTACTGTGTGGCCGTAGGAACGAGCCCACGCACCGTGAGAACAAACTTCCCAGCTCTAAAGTCGATCTTCATCCGGGTACGTCACACATCACGTGAACAGGAAGCAGAAAATCCATGTGTTAGGAGATCGCTTTGGGCTGCTGCTGTAAAAAAAAAAGTGAGGCGTGAACCGGAAAAGCTTCTGCCGATCACAATTCGACAACGGATTATGAAAGAACGGATAATGCTCGAAATGCATGGATTCTTCTTGATGTAAGATGTGAATTTTCTCTTTGTTTTGGTAGTTTTGGCGTTGACATCATCCTAGCGTGCAATGTTCTGTGAGTCTTAAAAAACAGTAAAAACAGTGAAAACGGCTGGCAGCAAAGGGCTTTACCGATCAGGAAACGGCTGGCAGTGAATGAGTTAATAGAAATGGACTGCAGTACCCAAATTTGACCACAGAATGTCAGTCTTACTTAATTCTTACATAATGCACCTTAAATATAAAGAGTAGCATACACTGGTGTATGTTGTTTTGTTAAAAGTACATTTAGATTACTCTATATACCAGTTGACAAAACTTGGTTAAATAAATTCAACATTTAATAAACTTAGAGTGTCAATTGAAATGTACGATAAGGCTTGTAAAATCTTTGCTGATAATTACTATTTATTTTCCCATTTACCCCCTTGTTCCTTCAATACTGACAATTTATAATTCCTCCACTTATCAAACTTTCCCACCTTCTACCGATCCCTATTTCATGCATTTTTGATAGCTGTTCACGCAAACACTGCTCACTAGAAAAGATCCATATGCAACATTTTATTGAAAATAATATATTGTTTGGTTTTTGTTGAAGTTTGCCTGAATTAAAAAAAACACCAAATTCCCTGGATTTGATGAGTCAATTATTTTGTAATTTCCTGATCTTAAACAGAATTTTTGTTATTTATCAGCAGCCATAAAGGTGTTTGGGTCAGTATTTCTCTGGACAATGCTTGTCCTAATCAGTAAAAATTAATGAAAAGAGGCTTTTTGGTAAGTCAGCGGAGGTTTGTGGTCCTTTTTTACATAAAAAAAGAAAAATATAATAAAAACAGTTAATAAATACAACAAATACATTTTCATTTTGAAAATATTTTGTTGCATCTGCATTTTTGTTAGGCCTCATATTATTAAATATTAGAATATTTGATAATTTCATCATCAATTTGCAATTGAGGGCCACAAAAAAATCACACTAAGACCCAGAAATGGCCTGCAGGCTGCACTTTGGACATCCCTGCATTACAGTTAGAATCTACACCATTTGTGCTCTAGAATAACTTCTGCATGAATAACTATAATGCAAAATCAAA